GTTTCAGTAATGGATACTTTGGTGACTCGGGAGCTAGATAATAACAGATAAGGACATGAATACGGTAATTGTATTCTTAAACAATACGTGTTTGAATGTACATTTTCGTGAAATGTGAGAGATGTCAACAACTTATATAAATGACTACGGTGAAGAACTTCACGATACAGACTGTGCTGTACGAGAAACATTACTTTGTATACTATTCAAATACTTATTCAATTGAAGATATAACATTAAAATAGAGAATGCGTTGTTGTTATAGCCTATTCTGTAAGCGCACAAGAGAGAGAAGCCTACTCATATAAAGTTTGATCTGCAGCATTGCTTGAAGTTGCTATTTAATTGTGTTAACTCTTGGAACCTGTTTGTAATTAAGGTAGATGAACGCAACGCCAATGTTCGTAAATCTAGACTTTATACACCTATAGCATGTTGAACAGATAATAACAGACATAGACTGGAAATATAGTCACAGGTGTCGATATATTGTACAGGAATATTGGCTTTGTAAATTAAAAACATATAAACTGGAGGAGCCTACCTCACAGTCTACATAAAACATCACTGGAGAGTGCCTAAGTATCAAACGGTAAATAATATATTAGCAGCCATTCAGAATTAGCATAAACTTGTACATATTACATTGAGTGTTTCAAAAACTGCAGTACTGGTTCGAACGTTCATTTTCTGAACAATAATAACAATGAAATATGAAGTTTAGACATAAACTAAGATTAAAATTGAAATGTTTCTTACCTTGAAACAAGAGCGGAGAGTTCATTGAGTTGATTCAAGCAAGTGTACCTGAGACTGAAAACCCAAGGACTTATACCCCACACCTCTCCTCGTATAACATTACCTACCTATTTCGCTAATGTTGTATGTTAAACACAATGGTATCTGACCTGATTTAGTTGACGCTTATGAGAAGCGATATACTGCTTGAGACTATCATGCCATCCTGCTTCTATAGTGATGAAGTCAGCTGTCTCCACCGTAGATTATTTTCATATGATACCTCCGACTGACCAATCAAAATCGAGTAATTTCTAAAATTTATGGAAGAAATTATAACTACATTTTTATGTTACGATGAAGCAGGTATAATTATCCCATACATGACAAGAGTATTGCATTTACTGCAGTCAGACAGAATACAGAATAAATCGGACCTTAATCGTACTCTATCGTATCAAGGATACTATCAATTACATAAATACATAAATATCAATACATTACACAAGGTATGCTTACTATGAATACAAAAATACAAGCTGTAATATTAAATACACTAGCACCATACATCTAAAGGACCTAAACGATTGACAGATGCCAGAAATATTTGACATAAAGATATCACATGATGATGTAGTGCCTTAAGTCATGGTATCATTTCATGGAAAATGCCAGATCACTTCGACATACATTATTAAAAACACAAACTTAGCTATAATAAACACTATCATAGAGATCTCAATCTCAGAAATATATCACAAATATGAAGCACACAAATGTAGTGTCGTCATTCTTGGTATAATTTCAAAGAACATGCATGGTCCCTTTTCCATAGACATTTAAAACACACAATTAACTATTATATGCACCATCACAGTACATCAAAAGCACCTTAACCACAGAAATATGTCACCATTACAAAGCTCAAAGATATCACTTTGTTGCAGGTGATCTATGGCCCCATTTTTTATAGCGTATCGCTGCCCATTAATCGTTTTGCTAATGCTCTGCAACTAGTTTTAAGTCAAACTGTGATATATTGCCAGATATTATACTGCCCTACGTCAACATTTTTTAAATAAATATTGTATAACTTATTCAAGACTCACTCACTCACTCGCAAATATCTCATGCCCGTGTACTGTCTTAATTCTTCATTTCACAGAACATGCAAGGTCTCGTTTCCATACCTTATTATTTGCAAAAGCTGCACTTTTATGTAGAGGCCAATACGGTACGATGACCAAAAATAATACACCCGAATCCATAATTAGTATGTAGTCGTCACGCTTGCATTAGAATTAAGACTGTTCCACATAAAACAATTCCAGTTATTGCAAACACCGAAAACATTACGTTTTCAATTCGTTTCCAAATGCAATTGACCTGTGTTTTGTTCCCATCGTGTGATCTTTCAGTGTTCGGGTCCATTGTCACACTGCGGTCGTTTCGGCTCAGCTTCAGAAGAAATACTGTACAGACGATTGACAGAGCTGACAATATGAGCTGTCCTCCAATAAAAATCCCAAATATAGGCATGGTCAGGGAATTAGCGGGATGCTACCAAAGATGTGACTCAGCATGACGGAGTAGAAAAGCATCAGCGTCGTGGCCAATCCCACCTTCTCCCCACTCTCAGCCGGCAACAGGAACACGAAGGGGTTCAAAAAGGAGGTTACAACAGCAGGTAATATCAAGCTGACCAAGTAATACTCTCGTCGTCGTCGCATGTTCAGAGTCACAACGATAACGTCCCGTTGCCACGAGTCTTTATCAAGGTTACTTAATACGGAAACAACTTCCCATTGTCCATTTTGCTTCACTGCCGATGCAACAATTAATTTCGTCTCAACAATTTGTGTTTGGGTGCTCTCATGTACCCACATCACAGCAGTAATAACACATGTTTGATTGTCAAATGGAAATCTTGTTGTGTCTATTGGACACTGGGTATTTCCGATAAAGTCAGGAATCCATTGTACTGTCCCATTAGATTTAATGTTACCAAGGTAATTCTCTGCTCTCAGGTATCGGTTTGTTCTTAAGGCATTCGGGATGGCGATTTCAGGAATCCATATCTGTGTGTCAGGGACAAAAGTCTCATAAATACCTGGAAATGCAGTTTCATTCCATGATAAGGCTTCATCAACCCATGTAACAATAAAGTACATCCCTGTTGACAACATCTGATTCCTCTCATCCAAATCCAGCAGGTACTGTAACCCCACCACCACAGATACATTCACAACTTCGCCCACACCTCCAGGCAGGACATGTTTATTATAGTTGTTGAAAATATGCTGGTGTAATGATACTTCCATGCTGCTTCCTTGAACACAGTAAAGACCAAAATAGATTCCAACAATGACACAAAGCATGTTGAATCGCGGAACAGACACTGTTACTGACAAATGTGAATGAAATAACTCGTGCTTAAAGCTTCAAACAAAACTGGACGGATTAAAGTCTGGGTAAATTATGGGTAGTTTGTCATGCTGATAGAAATACATATGATTACATATATCTTCTCGTTGTCATAACGGCATTGATTGTCCCAGAGCATGATGTGATTATAGAGCATTGTGTGAACATAAATTAGGTTGATTGGATATGGATAAATGTTATACACCAGTTATCGAATCAGGAATATAGTGCGTGGCATGACGATCAATTATTTGTCTGTGTCATTAACGAGTTGATTAGGAGGTATTTCAGAAATATCAATATATTATAACATTATTAAGCAAACCAACTGCTTGTTTCTGATAACAACATCATGTTTGCCAAACGTGGTATTTAATGTCTATTAATCGTAATAGATGTCCGCTGTCCAAATCTATAACGAATTTCTTTGTTGTATTTCTTGTTCTATTCCCAGCAAAGCCAAACATTCAGCCAGTTATGATTCGAGTAATAAAGGGGCCGACATAGTGGGTGTATCATGATACTGTCCCAAGTCCGCCAAGTATGATCTTTTTCCATCACAAGGGATCAATATTTCAAAGTTTCATTGCTTAAGGATATTTTTAACAATATCAGCTTTCATTTTATTCTTGTTATTTTCAAAAGACATTGAATTGTTAAATACATTCTGAAACGTGTTTTGTAATTGATAAATGATCTTTTTAATATTGTTAGAATAATTTGGATAACTAAGATTGTTCGTGGCTGTATCCAAATTCCTGGGCATCATATTTGACCGTCATCTGACATTCTTACTACATGTCAAATATCTAATGGCATAGTGACTGAAGGCTGTCGACTTGTTAAAAGTCGTTTCGAATTCCGAGTGGGGAGAGACTACCCTCCTTCACTTGTACAGATAGTTGATACGCTCCAAACCATACCGAGAGGCATTAGAAACGCTCAATTTTAAGATATAATTTTTTAAGACCATATGAGGTCCTTTTACATTTTACCCTGTTGACACTGTCCATTGTTGGTTATTACTGTAAACATGTCATATGGGTTGCAAACAAAAACTGTTTCTGGAAACGAAGCCAATCACCAAAACGCAACACACCCCTGGGAATGCTGCTATCGATGCACATTTTGTGAAAGGCATGATGCACGTGCAAACCTCAAAGGTAGGCCCTATAAATGCACACCATGACATTTTGCCATCACTTGCCTACACAATGCCACGGTTAACGCAGGATCAGCGTAGTGAATCAATCGGGATGTTAAATGCTGGTCGTACCCAAGAACAAGTTGCTGCTCATTTCCATTGCTATCAAACGACCATATCGAGATTGCATGAGTGGTTGAGAACCACAGGCAGCGTAAGGGACCGTCCTCGACGACCCTACCGTGGACAAATCTTGACTCAGGCACACAGGCTAGCACGGCAGCGATGGACAGCTGGTGGAGGTAATCTCGGTGGTAGAGATTGGAGACAAGTTGTTTTTTCTGATGAATCACGTTTCACAGTCAGCTACCCTGACGGACGTTTACGTGTATACAGACGCCAACATGAACGATTTACACAACCATGTGTTATTGAACGTGATCAGTTTGGAGGTGGAGGTGTTATGGTTTGGGGAGCAATCAATGCAAATTTCCGCTCGGATCTTCTTGTTATTCAGGGGAACCTTAATGCCAGACATTACATTGCCAACGTTCTACAGCCTGTTCTGCTGTCATTACTGACTCAACGTGGTTTACGTCGCCATGTCTTTCAACATGACAATGCAAGGCCTCACACAGCCAGGATAACAAATGCCTTCTTGCAACAGAACAACGTTAAGGGGTTGGACTGGCCTTCAAGGTCCCCAGATTTGAACCCTATAGAACATTTGTGGGACGAACTTGGCCGCCGTGTCAACAAAATCCTCCACAGACGGTTCCACAACTGACTCAAGCTCTTCTGCCTCATTGGAGACGTATTCCTCAGGCTGCAATTCGTCGACAGTGTCTCTCAATGCCTCGCCGGCTTCAAAGCGTGCATTGCTGCACAAGGAGGACATACTCGTTATTGACACCACTCGCCTTTGACGTCATTTTCATATACATTAATTCTTTGTCACACAGTAACTGTTCATGAAATTCATCAGTGTAATCTTTAGTCAGTTGTATTGATTGTCATTTGTATATTTCATTTCAGTAAAAAATGATTGACACTTAAATTTGAGTATGCGTTATTTGTGCCTCTCAGTATAGATTATGGTTCCATTGTCTATGTTGGAGCGTGAAAAAGCAATTTAGACTAAATAGACACAATACACCATCAAGGCTTAAGGCTCTGTCTTGGAGCTTTTAGAACCTCTCTCTTGGACAGTTTGTATGTGGAGGCCAATGGACCCTCATTGGAACAATGGAACAACATGTCGATTGTTCCTTCACTTCTCCGAACTGATAACATAAGACAAGAGTAATCTTCCCTTGTACCGTATATAACAGTTATGTGCGCCTATCATAATTACGCCACAGTATGCCATTGTGTGAGTGAGTTGGGTTTAACGCCGCTTTTAACAGTATTCCAGTTATATCACGGCGTGTCAGCATAATGTGGAAGGAAAGCCTGAAGTGATGCAGGTCTCAGACGTTTACCACTTTTGTGAAACCCACGAGCACGGGTATGATGCTGACAACGAAGAAACATAATCGGGGCCAACCGGGATTCGAACCCAAAATCATAGGTTTCTGGGGTGCCCAAGGGACGCAACTCTGCACAGCGAATCGTGGCGCCTTAGACGACTGAAAGGAACTGAAAATAAATGTATTGGATTTTGCATTGATCGTATGTACATTTTATCCAGATACGCTTAATATAGGTCAAAATATTTAGTTGTATTTCGTTACCTATTTATCAGTTGGTTGTGTGCATTGTTATGTTGATACACATGCACATTCAAATATTGCTGTCAAGGTGAGAAGTATTGGCGCTTATTCTGGTGTCTAAAATTAATTAAAGCCTCTTCCAAAACATAAGTTGAAAAATCTATCTATTTATTACAGTCTATAAAAAAATAAAAATAAATCTAATTATTGTGTATTATGATAACCAGTGTGAAAGAAGGATCTTGTCGCTAATACTTATGTAACCAACGTCATTGTCGTATTTATGCATCGAACCTGTTACATTTACTGAAACTGTTGTTGTGCTACTGTTCATCAGTAAATATATGCACCACAATACAATTTAGCCACAAATACATCACATGTGTCCACATGGCCATGTGCTTTGCTATTTATAGCGCGACCCTAGATAAGCTCCGCCCACTGTGATTGATGCAGACTCTCAAGCACGACCAATTCCATATTTTCTGATAAAACTACGGGATATTTATTGACTTACATCTGGTTATGGAGTCATTTGTGGTATCCAAGGTTTGTCATTCAAGCTGATACGAAATTTGAGGGTCATCATGAACGTGCAAAAAAGACTTCTCTCGACACTCGCTTGTGTTTACGTTGATAGTTACTGTTCGCAACTGAAACACCGCCACCTTGCGGGATATTAATAGTCAGGGTGGGGCTTTAAAATATATACCAAAAGGTGGGTGATTGAGTGAGTGAGTGAGTTGGGTTTAGCGCCGCTTTTAACACTATTCCGAAGGTAATGTTGCTGTAGACAACGTGTTTTTCCTATACATACGGAGCTAGATAATAACAGATAAGGACATGAATGCGGTAATTGTATTCTTAAACAAGACGTGTTTGAATGTACATTTTCGTGAAATGTGAGAGATGTCAACAACTTATATAAATGACTACGGTAATGAACTTCACGATATAGACTTTGCTGTACGAGAAACATTACTTTGTATACTATTCTAAAACTCTTTCAATTGAAGATATAACCCGAAAATACAGAATGCGTTGTTGTTACAGGCTATTCTGTAAGCGCACAAGAGCGGGAATTCTTTTCATATAAAGTTTGATCTGCAGCATTGCCTAAAGTTGCTATTTAATTGTGTTAACTCTTGGAACCTTTTTGTAACTGCGGTAGATGAACGCAACGCCAATGTTCGTAAATCTAGACTTTATACACATATCGCTTGTTGAAATGTTTCTTGCCTTGAAACGACAGCGGAGAGTTCATTGGGTTTATTCAAGCAAAACCCAAGGATTTATACCCCACACCTCTCCTCGTATAACATTACCTACCTATTTCTCTAATGCTGTACGTCAAACACAATGGTATCTGACCTGATTTAGTTGACTCTTACGAGAAGCGATGTTCTGATAGAGACTATCATGCCATTTCGCTTTTATTGTGATGAATTCAGTTGTCTCCACCGTAGATTATTTTCATATCATACCTCTGACTGACCAATCAAAATCGAGTAATTCCTAAAAATTATGGATGAATTTATGACTAGATTTTTATGTAACGATGAAACTACAAATATGATTATCCCATACATGCATGAAGAGAGTATTACATTTACTGCAGTCAGACGCAGATCAGTGACAGAATAAATTGGTCCTTAATCGTACTGTATCGTATCAAGGATACTATCAAATACATAAATATCAATACATTACACAAGGTATACTTACCATGAATAAAAAAATACAAGCTGCGATATTAAATACACCAGCACCATACATCAAAAGGACCTAAACGACATAAAGATATCACATGATGATGTAGTGCCTTAAGTCATGGTATCATTTCATGGAAAATGCCAGATCACTTCGACATACATTATTAAAAACACAAACTTAGCTATAATATACACTATCATAGAGATCTCAATCTCAGAAATATATCATAAATATGAAGCACACAAATGTAGTGTCGTCATTCTTGGTATAATTTTAAAGAACATGCAAGATCCCTTTTCCATAGACATTTAAAACACACAATTAACTATTATATGCACCCTCACAGAACACCAAAAGCACCTAAACCACAGAAACATGTCACCATTACAAAGCTCAAAGATATCACATTGTTGCTTGTGACCAATGGCCCCATTTTCATAACGTTTCGCTGCCCATTAATCGTTTTGTTAATGAACTACAACTAGTTTTAAGTCAAACTGTGAAATATTGCTAGTTATTATACTGTCCTACGTCAACATCTTTTTATAAATATTGTATAACTTGTTCAAGACTCACTCACTCACTCACTCCAAAATATCTCATGCCCATGTACTGTCTTAATTCTTCATTTCACAGAACATGCAAGGTCTCGTATCCATACCTTATTAATAGCAAAAGCTGCACTTTTATGTAGAGGCCAATACGGTAAGATGAAAAAAATAATACACCCGAATCCATAATTAGTATGTAGTCGTCACGCTTGCATTAGAATTAAGACTGTTCAACATAAAACAATTCCAGTTATTGCAAACACCGAAAACATTAGGTTTTCAATTCGTTTCCAAATGCAATTGACCCCATCGAATGATCTTTCAGTGTTCGGGTCCATTGTCACACTGCGGTCGTTTCGGCTCAGCCGTCGGATGTTCAGAGTCACAATAATAACGTTCCGTTGCTTCCTGTCTGGAACCAGATTCCCTAAAAACGGAAATAACCTCCCATTGTTCATTTTCCTTTATTGAGGGTTCAACAAGAACTTTCGTCTCAACAATTTGTGTGTGTGTGTGGTCTCATAAACCCATATCGCAGCTGTAATAACACATGTTTGATTGTCAAATGGAAATCTTGTTGTGTCTATTGAACACTGGGTATTTCCGGTGAAGTCAGGAATCCATTTTACAGTGCCGTTTGATTTAATGTTAGCTAAGTAATTCTCCGCTGTCAGGTAAAGGTTTGTTCTCAGGGCTTTAGGGATGGCGATTTCAGGAATCCATATCTGTGTATCTGGGACAAATATTTCATGCAGACCTGGAAATTCGGTTTCATTCCACGATAAGGCTTTATCCACCCATTTTACAATAAAATGCATCCCTGTTGACAACATCTGATTCTTCTCATCCAAATCTAGGAGGTAATTCAACACCACATCCACAGATACATTCACAGCTTCGCCTACATCTCCAGGCAGGACATGTTTATTATAGTTGTTGAAAATATGCTGGTGTAATGATGCTTCCATGCTGCTTCCTTGAACACAGTAAAGACCAAAATAGATTCCAACAATGACACATAACATGTTGAATCGCGGAACAGACACTGTTACTGACAAATGTGAATGAAATAACTCGTGCTTAAAACTTCCAACAAAACTGGACGGATTAAAGTCAGGGTAAATTATGGGTAGTTTGTCATGCTGATAGAAATACATATGATAACATATATCTTCTCCTTGTCACATCGACATTGATTTCACACATCATGATGTGACTATGAAGCATTGTGTAAAAATAAATGCATTTGATTTAAATAGGAAAACAATTAAACACCCTTTTTCTACTCAGGAATATAATGTTTGGCATGGCAATCAAATATTCGCCTGTGACATTAAGGAGCAGATTAGGAAATATGTCAGAAACATCAATATATGTCAACAGGCCGTCACATTTGTCATACACAGCATTTCGTTATACTGTTGTCATTTCCGATATCGGGGATTCGATATTGGGAGCATGCCCTGAGACAAAAGAGAGCTTTCAGTTTATTCAAGCATGTGCGTTGACATTTAATTCCCAAAACATTTATTCATATATGATGACATACAATGCTAATGCTAATGCTAATGCTAATGCTAATGCTAATGCTAATAATAATAATAATAATAATGATGATGATGATGATGATGATGATGATATTAATAATAATATCCTGATACAGTTTGAATGTATGTCTGGGAATAAAAGCAATGTATATTATGTTGAAGAATTATGGGAAATGCGCACAGAACCATTATACAAAGTATTCAACAGTTACTAGCGTAATAACTGTAATTATAAATAACCTTCCTTTTCAGATAAAATTGACAGATCATAACATCTTCATGCAGCAGGTATGGTACAATGTACATGACAATCCTATGTGTGACATGTCATACCTATTTGGTTGAGCACGGTAAAGGA